CCCAATGTTTTATTTAACCAGGTAAGCCAGTTGAGAACAAGTTCTCATTTACAACTGCGACCTGGCCAAGATAAAGTAAAGCAGTGCGATAAAAACAATAACACAGAGTTACATATGGGGTAAACAAAACATAAAGTCAAAAATACAAACAGAATATATATATACAGTGTGTGCGAATGTAGTAAGTTATGGAGGTAAGGCAATAAATAGGCCATAGTGCAAAATAGTTACAATTTCGTATTAACACTGGAATGATAGACGTGCAAAAGATGATGTGCAAATAGAGATACTGGGGTGCAAATTAGCAAAATAAATAACAATATGGGTATGAGGTAGTTGGGTGGGCTAATTTCAGAATGGCTGTGTACAGGTGCAGTGATCCGTAAGCTGCTCCGACAACTGACACTTAAATTTAGTGAGGGAGATAAGAGTCTCTAGCTTCAGAGATTTTTGCAGTTCGTTCCAGTCATTGGCAGCAGAGAACTGGAAGGAATGGCGGCCAAAGGAGGTGTTGGCTTTGGGGATGACCAGTGAGATATACCTGCTGGAGCGCAGACTACGGGTGGGTGTTGCTATGGTGACCAGTGAGCTAAGGTAAGACGGGGATTTGCCTAGCAGTGATTTATAGATGACCTGGAGCCAGTGGGTTTGGCGACGAATATGTAGTGATGGCCAGCCAACAAGAGCGTACAGGTCACAATGGTGGGTAGTATATGGGGCTTTGGTGACAAAGCTGTTGAGGGAGCAGCTTGACCGTATGGTGCGTAAGAAGTGCCAATCCAACTTGTGGGAGGTGCTTCAGGAAGCATGGGGTGAAATCTCTTCAGATTACCTCAACAAATTGACAACTAGAATGCCCAAGGTCTGCCAGGCTGTAATTGCTGCAAATGGAGGATTCTTTGACAAAAGCAAAGTTTGAAGGACACAATTATTATTTCTAACCTTGTCAATGACTACATTTCCTATTCATTTTGCCATATTTCCTATTCAAACCCATTTCATGTATGTTTTCATGGAAAACAAGGACATTTCTAAGTGACCCCAAACTTTTGAACGGTAGTGTATATTCACACTCACGTACACACACACACACACACACACACACTTTTTCACACACAGCTGTATGAATTTGGAGATCTAGTCAGTCTCTAAGCCCTGATTACACATTCCATAGTGCTCAACCTCCTCCCCCAATCTGAGTCTTTTGTGCCTGTTGAAAGGCATTGAGGTTACAGGGTTTCTCCCTTTAGGGTGCCCAGCATAATACTCTCTCTCAAGACAATGACCTCATCGTGACTCCCTCGCTCCCTCTCTTTGTGTGCGTGTGTGTGTGCTTGTGTCACAGAGAGAAAGGGGGACAGAGAGATGGTAAGAAAATGGAGAGGCAGAGCACTTTTGAAGAGTAGGAAGGAAGACTGCACTATACCACTTTGGAGGGGAGTCAGGGGACTACCTTGGTATAGGCTACAGACAACTGTGTCAAGTTTATTTATAAACATGAACTGTCCAAATAAATTGTACTTTACTTCATAAAGATGCAGCCTTACAATAAATAGCTGTGCATTTTGGGTGTGGCCAACAGCAGACTAGGGAGTGCAACTTCAGCAGCAGAGTAGATAGAATGGGAGAATCTAGGGAATGTAGCTACCATGTTGCTCTCTCACTGGATGGTACGGTAGGCTATATTACTGTATTTTATTACAATCCAATCCATCTTTCTTATGTGGTTATTTATTACTGTAATAGGAGGACTCTGAGCTCAGTCTAATGTGTAATAAATCTACAGTAGCCTACATTGCTTACATTCCATTCCATACAGTCAGTAGCTACTGCTAAAACAGTCTGTATTTACTAAAGCAGGCTGTACTTAGCATTAACAAGTGTAGTACCAATGCCTAAATGTAAAGCACACATACCACTAAGCCAAGGGAGCAGTCATTCCTTACAGGAAATTCCTACAGAGCACTTCTGCTGACTAAAGGGCTCAACGAGGGAGTAGTTTCAAGAATGTAATGTATACACTCTCTATATTCAGCATACAAGTCCAGTTAGAGTCCTTGGACCTTATATGAGAATTCAGGTGGTCTCTATGAAACAGTGTGCTGTGGTTCTGTATGTGGTAATGTAACATGCATGTTACCATAATAGTGGGTAAAACAATAAAAAAAAGTATAATAATTAAAATAATAAATAAATAAAATGTTCTCCTAAAGGTTCTATCCAACTCTTTTAGCAATCCTTTCAACTGCCGTGATACATCTCATCACTTCTCCACAAGAACGTTACAGAATCAAAGAAAGCAAGCAGAGCAGAGTCCTCCATTAGCAGTGTGCCTGTCTCTGTGCTGAGACATAAGCGAAATGGGAGAGAGCCATGCACTATCCAGAGAGAGAGCAAGATAAATCAATGACCGTATCACCCAGTCACTCTCAATCTACTCCATCTCCTCCATCCATCCTCCAGTTCCACCCCCCAGAGCCACACCCACCATTGTGTCAGGGGCGGTGGGATGGGTGCGCAGACAAGTCATACCACAGAGATTGTGAGATGGTGTATGCATGAGTGTGTGTGTGTATGAGAGAGAGAGAGACACAGAGACAAAGAGAGAGCGGGAGAGAGACGTGTGTACAGTGCATTCGGAAAGTATTCAGACCCCTTGACTTTTTCCACATTTTGTTACGTTACAGCCTTATTCTAAAATTGATTACATTTGTTTTTTTCCTCATCAATCTACACACAATATCCCATAATGACAAAGCAAAAACAGGTGTTTAGAAGTTTTGCAAATGTATTAAAAATAAAACACTATCACATTTACATAAGTATTCAGACTCTTTACTCACTACTTTGTTGAAGCACCTTTGGCAGCGATTACAGCCTCAAGTCTTCTTGGGTATGACGCTACAAGCTTGGCACACCTGTATTTGGGGAGTTTCTCCCATTCTTTTCTGCAGATCCTTTCAAGCGCCGCTGCACAGCTATTTTCAGGTCTCTTCAGAGATGTTCGATTGGGTTCAAGTCCGGGCTCTGGCTGGGCCACTCAAGGACATTCAGAGACTCCTGTGTTGTCTTGGCTGTGTGCTTAGGGTCGTTGTCCTGTTGGAAGGTGAACCTTCGCCCCAGTCTGAGGTCTGGAGAAGGTTTTCATCAAGGATCTCTCTGTACTTTGCTCCTTTCATCTTTCCCTCAATCCTGACTAGCCTCCCAGTCCTTGCTGCTGAAAAACATCCCCACAACATGATGCTGACACCACCATGCTTCACCATAGGGATGGTGCCAGGTTTCCTCCAGATGTGACGCTTGGCATTCAGGCCAAAGAGTTCAATCTTGGTTTCATCAGACCAGAGAATCTTGTTTCTCATGGTCGGAGAGTCCTTTAGGTGCCTTTTGGCAAACTCCAAGCGGGCTGTCATGTGCCTTTTATTGAGGAGTGGCTTCCGTCTGGCCACTCTACCATAAAGGCCTGATTGGTGGAGTGCTGCAGAGATGGTTGTCATTCTGGAAGGTTCTCCCATCTCCACAGAAGAACTCTGGAGCTCTGCCAGTGACCATCGGGTTCTTGGTCACCTCCCTGACCAAGGCCCTTCTCCCCCAATTGCACAGTTTGGCCAGGCGGCCAGCTCTAGGAAGAGTCTTGGTGGTTCCAAACTTTTTCCATTTAAGAATTGGGGACCTTCAATGCTGCAGAAATGTTTTGGTCCCCTTCCCCAGATCTCTGCCTCGACACAATCCTGTCCCGGAGCTCTACGGACAATTCCTTCGACCTCATGGCTTGGTTTTTGCTCTGACATGTACTGTCAACTGTGGGACCTTCTATAGACAGGTGTGTGCCTTTCCAAATCATGTCCAATCAATTGAATTTACCACAGGTGGACTCCAATCAAGTTGTAGAAACATCTCAAGGATGACCAATGGAAACAGGATGCACCTGAGCTCAATTTTGATTCTCATAGCAAAGGGTCTGAATACTTATGTAAATAAGATATTTCCGTTTTTTATTTGTAATATATTCACAAAGAAATCTAAAAACCTGTTTTCGCTTTGTCATTATGGGGTATTGTGTGTAGATTGATGAGGGAAAAAAATAATTTAATCAATTTTAGAATAAGGCTGTAACGTAACAAAATGTGGAAAAAGTCAAGGGGTCTGAATACTTTCCGAATGAACAGTATGTGTATTCTATTCTTCATGTCTATAATGGCCATTTCTTGGAGAGAGCTAGGGAAGCATCCATGTTAGAAAACAAAAGAGTAAAAATAACAGGCTCTGCAAGTGTTCGATGTGACCTACATTAACCACTGTCTCACGCAGTCACACGCCACAACTGCCATCAGAACCATGCACAAGCCAAGCCCATATGCTCATGTCAACCATTATAAAAAGGGGAAACTAGAGACAAAATACCTCAGATATGAAATGTACTATGGGTTAATATGCATCCATTTATGTGGAAACAAAAAAATTCAAGCAGCATCTCTCCAACCAAGGATGGCTGCCATTGGCCCATCAAAGCAGTTAAAAAAAAGAAGGTATCTGCACAAATACTCATTGCGGCTTTGGACATGGAGAAAATTCGTATCTATTGTGAAGGGGTAAACTGTGAATCATAAAAGCCAATTCAGAATTTGCTCCAGTTGATTAGAATGATAAACAATAGTGCTGCTACATCAACCATTGGAAAAGGGTGGAAATGAGAGTCATGTTCTGAATCTGAGGTAAATTGGGCAACACTGCCACCGGGTGGCCTTCTTTGAATAAACACATCCTAAAGCCAGGCGAGACATCAGCGTCTACTCCATGGTACAGTATTTGGCCATACCAGACAGTAAATGCATAAGAAAATAAACAAATCTTTAGAAAAGAACAGAGGTTGGTTGGATTTAAATGTTAACGTTTACTGACGCATTTCCAATAATTATTGCACTCGCATTTGATATTAAATGACGAGCAATTCGACTGATACTTTTTCCCTTTGAGGACAAGCTGGTCGGCCTCCCTGCTCAGTTCTCGGTGATCTGCGAGGGCTCGTTCTCACGCCAAACAGTTAGGCAGTGGTTACCTGGACACCTGCGCAGCTGGCTGTCAGTGAGAAAAGATAACAAAAAAACTTGCACTCTTCACATCTTTCAATCTCTGATTCGTGGTCTAGGCCTAGCTAACAGTACTGTAGACTATGGCTTATTTACCGAGATTGCGGGACATCATCGATGTCTGTTGATGGACATTTTGCAGATAGAGACTTCTTTGCGGCTAAAATGAATTTCGGTAAGCCTATATGGCACTCCGGCAGCGATTTTTTTTTGCAAACTTTAGTCTGGTGGTGGTGCCTGTTCATGGTTGATTTTTACGCGGATTGTATCCGTTTCCCGTTTACGGAAAAGCAACCTTCAACGTTAGTAAATTGTCGACGTTCCATGTGGTGTGTAAAACCAGAACGATGACACCTGCCTGCGTAGCGATGTTACCGTTACCCTGGCAAAGGCGTACCCCATCATAATGGCCTAAACGTTAAATTCTTGACAAGTTCACTTCTCAGCAGCAATGATTTTCTAGAAATCCAGAGCTGAAGACTCAAACTACTTTTTTTCCTACAAATGTGCAGACAATGACTATCCATTTGCATGATACTCTTTTTAATGACAATGTTCATTTGAAAAATAGAGGAAAATATAATTGCCAAAAAAAAACAGCTTTAAACGTATTGGTGTTTAAAGTGCAAATATATGTAAAGTGAAATACATAGCGAGAACTCGAGACATGCAACATATCAAGTAATTATAAACAAGTAATTCCTCCTCCAACAAGCTACTAGTAACCAGAAACATACAACTTAAAACAGTACATCTGCTGTACAACTGTATGCATATGTGATTGCACTGCCATGCAAAACAAAGCACAGAGTAATTATATTCAAATGAAAAGCAGTCATTGTAAAGATATGTAGACTACATCTTTATGCTTTGAGTGTTGGTCACTGTTTACACTGATGAAGACTAAGTTATTACAATAAAATACCAGAATAGCATGAAGCGATACTGCAGAATGAAGCTAGCCTATAATGTATCATTACATAAATCAAGCAGACAAAGCCCTCATTGCCCCTAGACTGTCCCCACACTGGTAACTCCAGAGCTGTTGTGCAGTCTATATGTCAATACCATGCTAAGCACAGCAGGTTGTGGGATCAGCAGTCTGTATTGTTACTCATTAATTATTTTACATCAGAAATAACATAACAGACCATATCCCCCAGACATCCAAGCACAAAACTCTGGCACCATGGCACCTGGAAGCTTTTGCAGCCTCTTTATTGCATCATAATGATCTTCTCTTTTGACAATTGACAACACATGAGCCCCTCCCCACCCAGAACAATAATAGACAACGTGGACTGATAGAATAATAGATGTGAACAGTAGTGTAGCAGAGACAGGAAATAAAGAGGAAACATGGCCTCTGGAGGTCACCGAAGAGATATGTTCACATCAATTACTAAGCAGGACAGGGACTAAAACAGACGGAAAGTCAAATGTAGAACATGGATCAGTTGGGTTTAGACTCAGATCAGTGTCTTGTGTGACAAAACATTTGGATATCTTTTCCACACTATCATGTGTCTGACAAGGCCATATATCTAGAGTTGAGTGAATCCAAAATGAATGCTCTCTATGAAGGTCAAAGTATATTTCATTTTTGAATATTAACTTGCATAAGATAGACAAGTTCATAAATCACTTGAGGAAAAAAAACGAGTTTAAATCATATTCACCATTCAATAAATCACATGATAAGCAGCGTTACCGTTTATGGCTATTCTGCAGCCTGAAGTAAAATAATAATCCCCCCCCCACTCATAACTTTGAAGAACTACTAGCAACAATGTACTTAGTGGCATTTCAGAACATAGAGAGAGCAGCAGCACCCCACATGTGGGGAACCTATCCTTATAGATGTTACATAGCTTTAGTCAAATGGAACACCAACTAAACTAGCGTCATATTCTCTAAGTCATAAGTTGTTCCAAGAAATAACCAACAAGACTGAATAATCAGCCTTGAGACTTATACGCACAAACTGACAACTGATGGTGCCTTGACTAATCGTATTGCCTTGGATTCCCATTGCTCTGCTAGAGCTTTCAGCAACATGGTCCAAACCCATCAGACATTCCCTTACGAACAAATGTGACATGGTGACGGCGTTGACAGGGTTAAAACACGTTAAGCATGGTTCGTCTCCCGAGAACTCGCTTTAATGGCGGGATAGAAACACTACGGCACGGCAATCATCAGTCCCAGTTCTCCCAGTCCTCCAGCTGGAAAATAAAACATGTCATTTAGTTCAACACAATTGTTTCCAAGGCATGTTATTCTTTGTTATAGTTTGAGGTTAGAAAAAATACAATAAAAATATTATGACAAATACATCATAGCCCACCTCTCCTGTAGCGCCAACTCTAGAGAGCGCCATTTGGACCTCCTCTTCTGTCATGTCCAGGTCAAAGTCCTTCTCCCAGTCCTCACTGACATCTGTGCTGGACCCTGCTGGGGTTGGGGGGAAGCACAGGGTCAGATAGGACCACTTAACACTCTTCTATGACACATGAACAGCTTAGGCCCTATTCAATCAAACCAGTCACATCAATAGCTGAATAGAATGTCCTTTTACCTTTCTTGCCATTGTTTGAAGGTGTAGACTTCCCGCTGTCAGAGTTGAGCTCAAACACCCTCAGGTCCTGGGGCCCCTCTGACTCTGGTCTGGTGGTGGGGGCCTGGACTGTTACCCTCTCAGCTGTAGCTTTCCCTGTGTGCTCAGGCTGGGCTGGGACCTGAACCTGAACCTCAGGCTGCCCCTGTTCCCTCTCCTCCTCCTGCTGCCCCTCTGGCTCTCTCTCCTCCAGGCTTGCCTTGTTGAGTTTCTGGGCCAGCTCCACGACTGCAGGCTGTGGCCTGGCTGGTCTCAACTCCACCTGGGTGGGCAGGCTGCCACTGTCGCTGCTCAGGGAGAGGGTAGAGGAGCGCTCCCCACTCGGAGACGGTATGGGGCTGAGTGGGGTCCTCGCCATGGTGACTGGTGTGAGTGGGGACAGCTGGGTTGCGGGGTCTTCCAATGGGGGCGTGAAGTCCAGGCGAGATGAAGACGTGGCGCCAAGGAAGTCATCTGGGGTAGAAATAAGGGAGAGAGAACAGTGAGTCACATGAGCCAGACCTGCACTAATCTGACTGACTTCTTTCAGGCCACATCTCACAGAAATAAAACATTTCACCTTTGTGAAATCCACTATCCAACACACCTTCATCCTCCTCCTCCCAGCCCAGAGCCTCTGTGTGGGTAGTCTGCTCTGCTCTCTGCTTCAGGGCCACTCTCCTCGCTTCCTCCTGGTGGTCAGTCACAATAGTTATTATCCATCAGCAGAACACTACCAGCTTTTTATTGTGTTTTTATGTATTCAGGGAGGTGGTGCTATGAAGTGTTGATGGGTATTTTAACTGGAAATTTCTCTAAAAACACAGCTTACCTGTGAAATAGTTGCATCGAAAACATTGTCAGATACCTCCTTTTTGTCAGCATGCAGCACATAAAATATTAATTATAAACACAGGTGGACTTTCCAGAAAAGAGAGGGGCTAGGAACGGGCTTTGGCAGAGGTGGGCGTGGACTTTGTTAAGAAACATTGGAAAGCATCTGAATCCAAATAGAGTAGCAGGAGATTTGGTTCTGGGTGCCGCGATTATCTTTCACAATCTCAATGTTTTCCCAGAGTCTTTACTAACCTACTGGAGCTAAGGCCCCTCTACAAACTGTCCAACAGGGGGCAGAGTTTACATTCTAACATGATAGAAGGGGGTGCATGACAGTTCATGAGAGCTATCCATGCCAGTAACAACAAAACTAAAAAAGTGGCTGAATTACCTGGTACAACTGAAAGACTTTGTAGAAATACCGCTGCCAGAATTCAGAATGGGCTACTGCTGCTGGCACCTAGGGATGCAAATGCATAATATGCTACTTTACACCCAGACTTTGCATTGTTAGGAACAAGAGTAATTAACTTATATTCTATTAATGTGGTAAATAATGTTAAGCTCTAGTGTTTCTATGATAAAAGGTCTTAACAGCAGGGTTAGATAAGTGTACCATTTTGGTGTAAAGGGCCCTGATAGAGGGGCTGTTGACCAGGAGGTCAGAGATCTCTCCTTTCCTCTCCTCCAGACTGAAACAGGAGAGCCACGCATCAAACTGCTCTAGGGGACCTAGGATAACACACAGGCCACACAATTAAAGCACACTCAAGACACAAAAAAGTTTGACAGTTTAACTGCATGAAAATAAGAAGTCCAAACTTCCCAAATCTTGTCCTGACAAGTTATTTGTATTCATTGTAATAAGAGTTCATTTTGACCATGATTAATGGGTAGGCCCAATTCATAAAACTGCCAGATTTTAATGCCCACATTAGATTACAGATTAGAGTACACAGAAATTGAACAAACTTAACTTAACATTTGCTTCAGAAATATCAAGCAAGAGAGGGCTTGCAGGCTTGGATTATCATATTGGAGCGCATTTGAGGACATTTAGTAGTTTTTAGTAGAGCGACTTACAGTTAGTGAATGCATACATTATTATTCTTTTTTTCTCATACTGGCCCCCTGTGGGAATCGAACCCACAACCCTGGCGTTGCAAATGCCATGCTCTACCAACTGAGCTACATCCCTGCCGGCCATTCCCTCCCCTACCCTGGACGACGCTGGGCCAATTGTGCGCCGCCCCATGGGTCTCCCGGTCGCGGCCGGCTACGACAGAGCCTGGATTCGAACCAGGATCTCTAGTGGCACAGCTAGCACTGCGATGCAGTGCCTTAGACCACTGCGCCACTTGGCAAAGAGGAAAGGGAGGAGTTGGGACATCCGGCTTTCTTACATCACTGCCTTATTCGCTTGTTGTCCTCACTTAAACATCCCCCAGACACAAAATAGTAGCTAACAAGATGGAGATCAGAGGTTATTTTAATGAATGCATTTCGCAAGTAGCTAATTTGCATCAACTACCTTCATTAAAACCACTGTAAAAGTTGCCTGTAAACTTTGGTTTCCAATCGCAACGTTCTGGCATGTCTGCCTACAGGTTATGGTAAGTATGAATTTCATGAGCAATTTCTGATCAAATTTTAAGCCCCACCCACCCAAACTTGTGATTTGCCCGGAACATATATATATTTCTTTTTTTTCAAAGTTACCAAGAGAATCTGTCATGACTTCCAGACCTAGAGCTGTTGGCCTAGGTCTGGGATTTCCAAGACTAGACATTTAGGGTAGAGTATAATGAGTAATCATAGGGCCTTTAGTCCCTTGTCATTGCCATTCTGTTGGCTTTTTTATGTTTTGAGGGCACTGAAGCCTGGTTAGTGATGTTACATGGCACATGATTACCTTTTCTTGAATATAATGAGAAGAGTGAAGAAACAGATCGAAAAGAAAGAGATAGTTGTGAACTGTCTCACCGTCAGGCTCATTGCAGTATGTAGCAGGGTCAGCTTGTAGACTGTAGAGACGAGCCTAGGGAACAAAACACACACTGTAACTCATGTGACACAACATGTGTTCTGGAGTGTAATCATTAGTTCCAAGAGTTGTGTTTTGCAACAAAAACGAGTTTCTATTGGAATGGACAGATTCAGGAAGGTCCCTCCCCATTTGGTTCCTAGTGAATCCACCCCTGGTATCTGGTATTGCAACAAAAAGAGACCGTATTTTGTTTTATATTAGGCCTAAAGCACAATTATGTGGATAAACCATCCTCTCTGCTCTGGAGCTCAGTAACACTTCTGAGACGAACCACTCTTACATGTTTGAACTGATGGGGGAAAAGTTATAACAATGTTAACAACATTTCTGAGATATATTCTGGTATATTGTACAGGCTCTCCGGGTAAGGAGGTCGTCGGGTAAGCTTGGCGTCGGGTAAGCTTGGCTTTATACATAGCTTGGGCTTTGTCGAGTAAGGCTTAAACTATGTATTTAGATTGTAGTTAGGTATTGTAGGTAGTTATCGTGGGTTGTTGTATGTAATTATTGTAGGTTAGTATTGTATTCGGCTATGCCCGGTGTAGCACGAAGCTAGCTAGCTAACCCACCACCTGGACTAGCTGGCGAGTAGCTATTAGCAACGGTATAGTTGTTTCACGCCTGAGAGTGCCTGTAATTACGCCAGCTGGCTGCCTACAATAATTACATACAATAATTGCCTACCATTCAGCTGTTTTCTAACCTCATTGTCTGAACCGTTAACGTTAGGTAGCAAGTGGCTACTGTGCTTGAAATTTAGCTAGCTTGTTGCTACCTGGATAGCTACTAGTAAACAATAGCTGGAACGACCGAGCGAACAGACGCGAACTGGCTGAGTCAATTCAGTGGCTAGCTTTGCACTTGGCTAGCTAACAGTAGCTGCTAGGGGTAAGTCATAACCTACATTTGTGTTTTGTTTTTTACATATTGATAGCCCGAGTCGTTCAAGGAATTCGGGACATGGGTGACTAGTTAACGTTAGTTTGGCTCTCTCTGTGTGTTCGTGCCGTGAAAGGAGGGGTTCTTCTTTGTCTGAAAGCAATGGCTAGCTAGTTTGCTAACTATTCTAGCTAACTAACTGGCTGAATAAGTTGACGACGGACTCGCTCAAGCTGTCGGGACTAGCCCACAACGTTAGACACGGACACGGACACGAACGATCTGCTTGCGTGTTGATACACTGGAGGTTTGTTGTGGCCGAGTATTGGCGCTAAACCGTGTTGTTGGAGTCCAGCATGCTAGCTGGCTGTGGCGTCTTATGACTAAGTGCCTGAACGATTTTCACAGAATAATACTGCACCTAGTTAGCTAGCTGAATAAACTAAGTTAGTCTATTCCTAGAAAACATTGAACCGCTGTAGTTTACAACAATTATAGTTTCTGAGGTGGAAGTTGGGAGAGTTATATTTGGGAGTTGTGGTGAGAGAGGCCCCGCTCTCTCCTTTCCCAGATGTTTAGTTCATTTCATTCCGATCTCCTCTGCATTATTGTAGCCATCTGCTACAGCCTGTCAACTATGCCTCTGCCTATCCCTGTTCTCTCCTCTCCGCACAGGCTACACAAACGCCTCACACCGCGTGGCTGCTGCCTCTCTAACCTGGTGGTCCCTGCACGCTCCACCCACGTGGAGTTCCAGGTCTCAGGCAGCCTCTGGAACTGCTGTTCTGCTGCCAACAAGGCAGAGTTCATCTCAGCCTATGCTACCCTCCAGTCCCTCGACTTCTTGGCGCTGACGGAAACATGGATTACCACTGAAAACACTGCTACTCCTACTGCTCTCTCCTCGTCTGACCATGTGTTCTCGCATACCCCGAGAGCATCTGGTCAGCGGGGTGGTGGCACAGGAATCCTCATCTCTCCCAAGTGGACATTCTCAATTTTTCCCCTGACCCATCTGTCTATCTCCTCATTTGAATTCCATGCTGTCACAGTCACTAGCCCATTTAAGCTTAATATCCTTCTCATCTATCGCCCTCCAGGTTCCCTTGGAAAGTTCATCAATGAGCTTGACGCCTTGATAAGTTCCTTTCCTGAGGATGGCTCACCCCTCACAGTTCTGGGGGATTTCAACCTCCCTACGTCTACATTTGACTCATTTCTCTCTGCCGCCTCCTTTCCACTCCTCTCCTCTTTTGACCTCACCCTCTCCCCCTACTCACAAGGCAGGCAATACGCTTGACCTCATCTTTACTAGATGCTGTTCTTCTACTAATCTCACTGCAACTCCCCTCCATGTCTCCGACCACTACTTTGTATCCTTTTCTCTCTTGCTCTCCTCCAACACTACTCACTCTACCCCTACACAGATGGTAATGCGCCGTCGCAACCTTCGCTCTCTCTCTCCCGCTACTCTCTCCTCTTCCATTCTATCATCTCTTCCCTCTGCTCAATCCTTCTCCCTCCAATCTCCTGATTCTGCCTCCTCAACCCTCCTCTCCTCCCTTTCTGCATCCTTTGACTCTCTATGTCCCCTATCCTCCCGGCCGGCTCGGTCCTCCCCTCCAGCTCCGTGGCTTGATGACTCATTGCGAGCTCACAGAACAGAGCTCCGGGCAGCTGAGCGGAAATGGAAGAAAACTAGACTCCCTGCGGACCTGGCATCTTTTCACTCCCTCCTCTCTACATTTTCTTCATCTGTTTCTGCTGCTAAGGCCACTTCCTACCACTCTGAATTCCAAGCATCTGCCTCTAACCCTAGGAAGCTCTTTGCCACATTCTCCTCCCTGCTGAATCCCCCCCCCCCCCCCCCCCCTCCTCCCTCTCTGTGGATGACTTCGTCAACCATTTTGAAAAGAAGGTTGATGACATCCGATCCTCGTTTGTTAAGTCAAATGACACTGCTGGTCCTGCTCACACTGCCCTACCCTATACTTTGACTTCTTTCTCCCCTCTCTCTCCAGATAAAATCTTGCGACTTGTGACGGCAGGCCGCCCAACAACCTGCCCGCTTGACCCTATCCCCTCCTCTCTTCTCCAGACAATCTCCGGTGACCTTCTCCCTTACCTCACCTCGCTGATCAACTCATCCTTGACCGCTGGCTATGTCCCGTCTTCAAGAGAGCGAGAGTTGCACCCCTTCTCAAAAAACCAACACTCGATCCCTCTGATGTCAACAACTACAGACCAGTATCCCTTCTTTATTTTCTCTCCAAAACTATTGAGCGTGCCGTCTTTAGCCAACTCTCTTGCTATCTCTCTCAGAATGACCTTCTTGATCCAAACCAGTCAGGTTTCAAGACTGGTCATTCAACTGAGACTGCTCTTCTCTGTGTCACGGAGGCTCTCCGCACTGCTAAAGCTAACTCTCTCTCCTCTGCTCTTGTCCTTCTAGACCTGTCTGCTGCCTTTGATACTGTGAACCATCAGATCCTCCTCTCCACCCTCTCCGAGCTGGGTATCTCCGGCGCGGCTCACTCTTGGATTGCGTCCTACCTGACCGGTCGCTCCTACCAAGTGGCGTGGCGAGAAGCTGTCTCCGCACCACGTGCTCTCACCACTGGTGTCCCCCAGGGCTCAGTTCTAGGCCCTCTCCTATTCTCCCTATACACCAAGTCACTTGGCTCTGTCATATCCTCACATGGCCTCTCCTATCATTGCTACGCTGACGACACACAACTAATCTTCTCCTTTCCCCCTTCTGATAACCAGGTGGCGAATCGCATCTCTGCATGTCTGGCAGACATATCAGTATGGATGACGGATCACCACCTCAAGCTGAACCTTGGCAAGACGGAGCTGCTCTTCCTCCCGGGGAAGGACTGCCTGTTCCATGATCTCGCCATCACGGTTGACAACTCTGTTGTGTCCTCCTCCCAGAGTGCGAAGAGCCTTGGCGTGACCCTGGACAACACCCTGTCGTTCTCCGCTAACATCAAGGCGGTGACCCGATCCTGTAGGTTCATGCTCTACAACATTCGGAGAGTACGACCCTGCCTTACACAGGAAGCGGCACAGGTCCTAATCCAGGCACTTGTCATCTCCCGTCTGGATTACTGCAACTCGCTGTTGGCTGGGCTCCCTGCCTGTGCCATTAAACCCCTACAACTCATCCAGAATGCCGCAGCCCGTCTGGTGTTCAACCTTCCCAAGTTCTCTCACGTCACCCCGCTCCTCCGCACACTCCACTGGCTTCCAGTTGAAGCTCGCATCTGCTACAAGACCATGGTGCTTGCCTACGGAGCTGTGAGGGGAACGGCACCTCCGTACCTTCAGGCTCTGATCAGTCCCTACACCCAAACGAGGGCATTGCGTTCATCCACCTCTGGCCTGCTGGCTCCCCTACCTCTGCGGAAGCATAGTTCCCGCTCAGCCCAGTCAAAACTGTTCGCTGCTCTGGCACCCCAATGGTGGAACAAGCTCCCTCACGACGCCAGGACAGCGGAGTCACTCACCACCTTCCGGAGACATTTGAAACCCCACCTCTTTAAGGAATACCTGGGATAGGATAAAGTAATCCTTCTACCCCCCCCCCCTTACCCCAACCCAAAAACAAAACAAAAAAACTAAAATAACTTTGTAAAGTGGTGATCCCACTGGCTATAAGGTGAATGCACCTATTTGTAAGTCGCTCTGGATAAGAGCGTCTGCTAAATGACGTAAATGTAATGTAAATATTAGCAGTAAGTGCAGTAAAATGTAAAACAGCATAGTATCTCTTCCTTAATTAGTTGAATAACACTGTCACAGTGATTAGTTAAACACAGTCTTAACATCCTCACCTTGGTGCTGTCATACACCTCTGTGGTGCCTGCTGGAGTTGCCACTAGCGTAATGACATCACAGTCGATGGTCATGTCCTGGGGAGGAGCGAGGGTGTCTGTTATCACTCCTAAGAAACTGGACAGGCTCTTCTTCACCTTCTCTGTGGTGTCAGAGGAGCCCTCCACCTGTAACAAAGTGGGCCAGGTAACATATGTCAGACAGGAAGTAAGCCTATAAATAACCAAGTAATAATGCATATTAGCTTTTCTCATATGGGTCACTGTGAGCCATAGTAAAGAACCAAATGGCCTACCGCTAGTTTGCTTCTAACAGCACTTGCTGTGGCGACGATGGAGCACGCAGTATCATGTTGCACTACGTTGGAGAACTCTGTCAGGTCACGCTTTATAAACTCATACGCCTCAGATGACTGTAAAAACAATAAAATGTTGGATTTACATTGACAAGTCCAAACAAGGTAAGATGTCTTCAATATCAGCGTACATTGGATGTCACAAGGATATTCATTGATTTTTATGTTTTATCATGAGTCATTTTGAAAACATTGAATTTGCCTTCTTGATGCACAGCACATAAAACAATAGCTAGCTAGCTTTATTTTGTAGTTTATTATGCATCATAAGGAGAGATAATCAGGTTATCCGTGTAGCTCAGTTGGTAGAGCATGGTGCTTACCATGCCAGGGTTGTGGGTTCGATTCCCACAGGGGGCCAGTATGAAAATGTATGCACTCACTAACTGTAAGTCGCTCTGGATAAGAGCGTCTGCTAAATGACTAAAATGTAAATGTAAAAATATCCGTGCAGGCTAGCATGGATGCCTACCTTATCTTTGACAGCCTGGAAGCTTTGCTGAAGCCAGCCTCCCCACCAGCCTTCGCAGCCTTCCCTGGAGTCAAGAGACATGGTGATGGGAGATTTTTTTTAATGGATCAACAGGGCAATGTCATGCAATACATAGCTTGCATTTTAGTTACTTAACTATGTAGGTGACCTTAGCTAGGCCATTAACAATCTGGCCAGACAGGAGAGTAACAGTGTGCATACACTCATCTGACACCAATCTAGCCAGTTTAGCTGACTGGCTAGCCAACACCTGGGGTGTATCATTACGCCGTTTGTTGCAAAACATTTTCCGTTTGGAGTAAACTGTTTGTTGCAAAACGTTTTGCAACATAATCGGCGTAATGAATACACCTCATGTGTTGGCTAGCCAGACAGCTAAACTGGCTAGATTGGTCTCAGATGAGTGTATACACACCTCCGAGTTTCTATTGGACAAATTCAGGTAGGTCCCTCCCGTTTTGTTCCGTTTGCTCTGTTTAATTCCGTTTGGTTCTTAAACGATAAACGGTTTCAGTTGCAAGACGTAATGAATACACCCCAGGGAATTTGCATTAGACGTATACAACAACTAGCCTAGCTAGCTAACTGTCAATACCACAGAGCTGTATTTTATCAATAACTTTTAATAAATACAACAGGGGGAAGAAATAATCGTCCAAATTACATTTGTCACACGATTAAAACGTCTGTCTCTGCGATTTGGCAGCAACCAGTTTGTTAGCCACTGCTAGCTAGCCAGCTAACGTTAGCCATCAAGCTAACCAGCTGGTGCAATATTTTGGTAAACAAACCCCGATGGACTTCCTCGCATTGCCTCGAGAATAGACAGAACGTTTTGAAATGGGTGAATGTAGCAAGAGCTAAATATGAAGGAAGCAACATCTTATATGAAGAAAAAAAAATGCCGAAAGTGTGATATAATACGATGGTTAAATTATAAAACAAAAACTATTTTGTGACTTCTCACTCACCCTTCAGCCATCTTCATACCATGACGACATCACCTGCATTTACTGAACTCTAACCCTGCTGATTTAGGAATAAGCTTGTCCCTCTAAAAGAGAGACTTTTCAGTTTGTATCTGCTTCTACTAAATACAGCTTTAGGGTAGATAGCTCGTGTAAAATGTATTATTATTTTCCAAATTCATTATTAGCTCTTTAGGCAATTTTTTAGGACTCTGCCTGTGTCTGCAAACGATTATGCTTATGGATCAACATTTACATAATGAGTACCTGGGGGAAAATGGGGGAGCATTCAACTTACTCTTGAAAGTTGATAGTAGAATGCATGGTGCAATTTCGAAATTGGGTAGTGCATCATCAGTTTTCCTCTTATTATGTTAGTCATTGCATACCTTAGAGAACTATTTATAATTTGCCCGAAATGTCCAGATCAACTAGCCAATGTCAGCTAACGTTTTTTAGCTAGGTTTTTTAGCCCATAGATTTTGTTGTAATGTTTGAGTCACTCAAATATCACGAGACATGGCAAAATGTATAGAATTGCAAGAAAATGAGCTTTAAAACGGCACCCCATGAGAACATTTGTGAATTGCAGGAAATAAGCTTTAAACAGTTTGTGTCATGAACAGTGCTTGTGCCCATAGAAATACAGTGGCTTGCAAAAGTATTCACCCCACTTGGCATTTTTCCTATTTTGTTGCCTTACAACCTGGAATTAAAATGGATTTCTGGGGGGTTTGTATCATTTGATTTACACAACATGCCTACCACTTTGAAGATGCAAAATATGTTTTATTGTGAAACAAACAAGAAATAAGACAAAAAAACAGAAAACTTGTGCGTGCAGATGTTCCCCAATGCTGGAAGTGAAAAAGTTTGGGAACCCCTGTTTTATTAGGCCTAGTCCATAAAAGTCACTATCTTGCACGCAGACTAGCTTATAGCCTATGTTCTGTTCTGTTTGAGGAGGAGAGCGTGATAATGAGGAGGACCGGAGGTCAACTTTGATAGCTTGCTACTACTAAAAGATATATGTTTTATTGTTATATGTTTCTTGCCCATGATGTAGGCCTATTTATCAGAGTTATTGACCTCACAATAAGCCACATTGTGGTGCTGAAACTTGAGGCAACAGCCGTGGCACAATCAATCGGAAATGAACAGCTCATGGTGCTGAAAGTAGGACAATTTGAGTAGGCATAGTTCATTTTAACATCTTCATTTTAATTTGCTAACAAGAGGGCTTTATGTTGGAGCCTATTTCTTCCTATTTAAGAAATTAGGTAGGCTATATGGTGCTATATCCATAGATTTGTAAGTCAATTCCTCCACCCACCATACACTCTTTAAATAGCCTACCTCCGTGTCAGTGTAGGGATGGGCATTCCGTGTCTTTTCGGTGAGCTGGCTCATTTGGCTCTGTTCATGTAAAAGAGCAGGCACATTTGGCTCCCAAATGTCTCTTCATTCAAAATGCTTAAAAGTCGACTTAGAACCATGAAAAATATTGCAAATCTCAAATGTAAAGCCCAAAAGGTAGGCTATCATTGTCAGATCGGGAAATGCGTGTTCAAATAAATGTTTACCTGTCCTAATTATTAGATGACCTGCAAAAAAATATGTTTTGTTTTTTTAACACTGAAAAAATCAGAGTGGACCAGATTGACAAGCTCTCCCCACTTTGTTGTTTCTGCATTGAGGATTCATCCTCTTTCGATAATTATTTTGGAACTTATCTGCAGAAAAACCTTGTTTTGAGCTCGAAAAGCAGTAGTACCAGTATGCAAATCAGGGAGCCAAATGCTGTAACAAGCTGTAAAATACCCGGGAAAAACGTGACTCCGATGATGCATATGGGATGTCATTGTTTAGTTTCTCTGACATTCAGAGGCTGAGCTACAATCTTCTATAGCTGAGGAGACTAAAAATGTACTTTGCTTGGGAAGTAATCTAATTCTGTCACTATAAATTGATTAAGCTATTCACTTTCTGTACAATAGAAGATGTTTAAACCCAGACAGCTTTTATGGAAACACTTGTGACCTTCTCGCATTGAGTTAAGCCACAGAAGAAGAGTAGCCAGCAGTTAAGCTTACATTTTTCTGCATCTGTAGGCCTAACTTTTGAAAGTACCATGCTCAGATTCCTAATGATGTCTCAGATTTAATTATTTGCCAACAGGGACAGTTTTGTTCCAATCAAGACACACTAATTTGGCATTGGAGAAATATGATAAAGCAAGTGCCTTGCTCAAGGGCACATCGACAGATTTTTCACCTAGTCGGCTCGGGGATTAGAACCAGCGACCTTTCGGTTACTGGTACAACGCTCTTAACCACTAAGCTACCTGCCGCCCCATGGCGGAGTGCAATGGCTGAGCCGGAGTGCAATGGCTGAGCCTCGCTCAGCCATATGAACACATACACATATCTCTCTGTCCATTCTTAGCCTGTAATTTTGGTAATTTGTATGATATGAAAAAATATTCCTCTAATATGTAAAATGAAGTAGAATTGCATGACATTTCTCGGACCTGCAAATACGATGATAGATTCATGCAATGCTTTTATACTGAACAAAAATATAAATGCAACATGCAACAATTCCAATGATTTTACTGAGTTACAGTTCCTATAAGGAAATTAGTCAATTGAAATAAATTCATTAGGCCCTAATCTATGGATTTCACATGACTGGGCAGGGGTGCAGCAATGGGTGGGCCTGGGAGGGCATAGGCCCACCCACTTGGGAGCCAGGCCAACCCACTGGGGAGCCAGGCCCAGCCAATCAGAATGAATTTTTCCTCACAAAAGGGCTTTATTACAGACATAAATACACCTCAGTTTCATCAGCTGTCTCAGACGATCCCGCAGGTAAAGAAGCCGGATGTGGTTACACGTGGTCTGCGGTTGTGAGGCCGGTTGGACGCACTGCCAAATTCTCTAAAAACGGCATTGGAGGCGGCTTATGCTAGAGAAATTAACATTAAATGATCTGGCAACAGTTCTGGTGGACATTCCTGCAGTCAGCATGCGAATTGCACGCTCCCTCAAAACTTAAGACATCTGTGGCATTGTGTTGTGTGACAAAACTGCACATTTTAGAGTGGCCTCTTATTGTCCCGAGCTCAAGGTGCACGTGTGTAATGATCATGCTGTTTAATCAGCTTCTTGATATGCCACACCTGTCAGGTGGATGGTTTATCTCGGCAAAGGAGAAATACTCACTAACATGGATATAAACACATTTGTGCACAACGTTTTTGAGAAATAAGCTTTTTGTGCGTATGGAACATTTCCGGAATCTTTTATTTCAGCTCATGAAACATGGGTCCAACACTTTACATGTTGTGTTTATATTTTTGTTCAGTATACTATAAAGGAGAACTTTCCACCCGTACTCTTGTCCACGGTGGTCTGCGAACCCACAACCTTCTGGCCCACAACCCAGTGTGCTATCAAAAGTCCTGCATTGTCATGTAATGCTTACATGACAAAGAACGGTTTCTAAAACTGCATATCTAAGGCTATGGTCTGTCTAAGAAGTGAGGGTAAATGGTCCACTTTATGTTTTAGTTATTATTTTGGGTATAGGGGAGGGTCACTTGTTTTCTTTCAAGTGTTCAGGGAGGATTTAGGTAAAATATATTTTGCATTTCAAAGAGGTCCGATTTTCTCCATGTAACCCTTATTATAAATAATGTTCACTCCCTTAGTGGCGGCAAAGACAGTACACTACCGGTCAAAGGTTTTAGAACACCTACTCATTCAAGGGTTTTTATTTATTTTTGCTATTTTCTACATTGTAGAATAATAGTGAAGTCATCAAAACTATGAAATAACACATATGGAATCATGTAGTAACCAAAACAGTGTTAAACAAATCAAAATTTATTTTATATTTGAGATTCTTCAAATACCCACGCTTTGCCTTGATGACAGCTTTGCACACTCTTGGCATTCTCTCAACCAGCTTCACCTGGAATACTTTTCCAACAGTCTTGAAGGAGTTCCCACATATGCTTAGCACTTGTTGTGGTCCTCTGTAGCTCAGCTGGTAGAGCACAGCGCTTGTAACGCCAAGGTAGTGGGTTCGATCCCCGGGACCACCCATACACAAAAATGTATGCACGCATGACTGTAAGTCGCTTTGGATAAAAGCGTCTGCTAAATGGCATATTATTATTGTTGGCTGCTTTTCCTTCACTCTGCGGTCCGACTCATCCCAAACCATCTCAATTTGGTTGAGGTTGGGGGATTGTGGAGGCCAGGTCATCTGATGCAGCATTCCATCACTCTCCTTTTGGTAAAATAGCCCTTACACAGCCTGGAGGTGTGTTGGGTCATTGTCCTGTTGAAAAACAAATGATTGTCCCACTAAGCCCAAACCAGATGGGATGGTGTATCGCTGCAGAATGCTGTGGTAGCCATGCTGGTTAAGTGTGCCTTGAATTCTAAATAGATCACAGACAGTGTCACCAGCAAAGCACCCCCACACCATAACACATCCTCCATGCTTTACGGTGGGAACTACACATGCGGAGATCATCCGTTCACCCACACTGCGTCTCACAAAGACACGGCAGTTGGAACGAAAAATCTCCAATTTGGACTCCAGACCAAAGGACACATTTCCACCGGTCTAATGTCCATTGCTCATGTTTCTTGGCCCAAGCAAGTCTCTTCTTATTATTGGTGTCCTTTAGTAGTGGTTTCTTTGCAGCAATTTGACCATGAAAGCCTGATTCACACAGTCCCCTATGAACAGTTGACGTTGAGATGTGTCTGTTACTTGAACTCTGTGATGCAGTTATTTGGGCTGCGATCTTTGAGGCTGGTAACTCTAATGAACTTATCATGTGCAGCAGAGGTAACCCTGGGTCTTCCATTCCTGTGGCGGTCCTCATGAGAGCCAGTTTCATTATAGCGCTTGATGGTTTTTGCGACTGCACTTGAGTTTTTGAAATATTCCGTATTGACTGACCTTCATGTCTTAAAGTAATGATGGACTGTCATTTCTCTTTGCTTATTTGAGCTGTTCTTGCCATAATATGG